CTCTGGCCCGCAGCTGCCCACACCCACCCACTGCTGTGCCTTGGTGGAACCTGGGTGGCCGCAGACCCCAGCCCTCCGCACCTGCCCTCCGTGGGAGGGGCGCGCACCTGCCCTCCGTGGGAGGGGCGCCCACCTGTCTCCCTGGAAGGACTGCTTCCTCCCAGATGATAAAGCATTGTCTTCATGAAGTCGTGGGCAGGGAGTTGATTCTTTTTTTTTTTTTAAGGTTCTAATTGGAAAAGCAAAATCTTGGCAGTGCCAAGGCAGCCCTTACGTTGCTCTGGAAACTCCCCTGAGCTGGGTCTGGTGCCTGCCCGCTGGCTGTGTTCTGCCTTGGCCTGCTCATCTTTGCAATGAGCAACATGTTCTGCCTCCTCTGAGAGGACACACACGAAGCCCTCAGCAAGCTGATGCCCACCCCCGCCTGGTCATCCCCAGCCCCATAGGTGCCCGAGGCTGGGAGGGCACTGGGTCCAGGGACCAGGTGCGGCTGGGTCACACGTTGCCAGGTGTCGTCAGATTGTTACTCAGTGTCCCTCTTTTGCCCAGCGCCAAGCAGAGCTCCACGGAGGAGCTTTCCCCCCTGCCCACACCCCCGCTCCCCCATGGACATCTGCCCATTCAGAGGGTGGCCTGCAGACTCTTCCCTCTGCCCCGGGAGCCTGGCCAGCAGGTGGGGGTGGAGGCCTGGCTGGGCATGTGAAAAGGGCCAGCCTAGGCCAGAAGGAGGCATCTCAGTGCTGGTAATAATCTGCAGAGAAACTTGCAAAATTCTCTGAACCCGACAGTGCAGGGGTTATAACCCTTAGTTCCAGCTGGGGAGACCGAGGCTCGAGAGACCAGCCCAGATGGTGCAGCCAGCTGGCCACAGGCCCCTGTCTCGGGTCTCTGGCTGGAGCCCGGCTGCCTCCCGAGCTGCACCCCAGGCTGCCCGGCACCCGCCTCTCCCAGACCCAGGCAGAGCCTAATGGATGACAAATTCCACAGCTCTGACCCACGCGCAGGCCCAGCCCTTCAGCCACCACCCCTTGTCCAAAGTCCACCGGGACTGTGCTGCCTGCTTGCTTGGGGCAATTTTGCAACAGCTGCTTATCTTTGAGCATGGAGCCAAGAGAGGGCTGGGCTGCCCGCCGTGGCCTGTGTCCTGGGGCTGCAGTGACCACGGCGTCCCTCACCTGTGCACCCCGTGTCCTCTGAGGACCTCATCACGCTACTCTCTAGCCCTCTCTGACCCCTCCTTCCCCCCATGCATGGAGGACAGCCCTGCCTCAGGTGGCGGGGCCAAGCCTGCTGTCCAGAGTGTCCCGGCTGGTGACCTCCCTGCCTGGGGCCCGAGCACTGCCCCTGGGGAGCCTCTCACTGGTGAAGCCGGCCTTCCTCCAGAGGGATCAAGGGAGTGTGTGAGAGTCTCTGTCCCCATGATGGGGACAGACAGTGGCAGCAGCAACCAGGATGCCAGAGCCCTCTGAGGCCACCTCCTCTGAGATGCCCTCCTGGGCTTCTGCTGAAAAGGAGAGCTTGCTCAGGATCAGTGTCATCACAGCCAGCCTCGTGGCTGCCTTGCCCCTTCCTGCCTCTCTTCTTCCTGGTCCCTGAGCCTCCAAGGGCAGGGACTGGGTCCTGGTTGACTCTGGGTCTCCCAGCAGTGTTTTTCATACAGTAGGTGCTCAGTGATGGCTGGGTGGCATCACTGACTCCATGGACATGAGTTTGAGCAAACTCTGGGAGTTGGTGAAGGGCAGGGAAGCCTGGCGTGCTGCAGTCCATGGGGTTGCAAAGAGTCAGACATGACTGAGTGAGTGAACAACAAATGTGCTCAATAAGTGTGGAGGAGAAATTGGCAGAAGACACTGGACACTCCGTGGGAATAAGAGCACAGATATTTGTGTTGATCACAGCAGTGTCTCTCCTGTATCACTCCCTGTATTAGCAGCCAATGTTACTACATCGTTCATTGACCGAAATTTCAATGCTGCTTTTTTTTTTGATCCAGTGGAAGGAAGAAGTCCTATTTTATCTCAGCACCTATTCTGACTCTTAGCACATTCAGAGGTGGACATACTTATTTGTTCCAGATTTCCTCTGGGCATCTTCCGCCTGAGCATAAACCAGACACCCTAGACCCAGAGGTAGACTGCAGGCTCTGGTCTGGCTCCCCACTAGCTTGCTGTGTGACCCCAGGCAAGCTGGCTCCCCTCTCTGGGCCCTGGTGCCCCTGATGGTCAGATGGAGGCCGGCATCCCTGCCTTGGGAAGCTGGTCGCTGTGCAGCAGGTAAGCGGGGGCTCACAGGTGGCCCGCCCAGCAGCTGAGGCATCTGGGAACTCTGAAGGGCAGAATGCAGATGGGCACTGTTGGGTGGCCAGGAGTGGGGTGGGGGGCAACCTGGACTTCTGCCTCCGAGGGCAGCGAGCACCCCTTCCCTGGGAGTGAGCAGCTGAGGCTGGACACGCAGATCCGTGCTGAGGCCCTGGATCACCCGACCGAGGAGCGCTGGCCCAGCCCAAGGCTGCTGCTGACCCAGTGCTTCCCGCCCGCCTGGCTGTGCCAAGTGTCTTTCAGGTGCGGGAAGCATGGCGTGCACGGGCAGACGGGTGTGCGCGGGTTCACCTGCGGAACCCCATGACCCCTGTTTAGGGGTGAGCAGCTGTGGTGCATGGGCGTGCATGGGCAGACAGGTATGCATGGGTGTACACGGGCAGGTGTGGACAGGCAGACGGGTGTGCGCGGGTTCGCCTGAGGAGCCCCGTGACCCCTGTTTAGGGGTGAGGAGCTGAGGTCACCTGCCCCGCGTGCAGGCTTAGCAGGGCCTCCAGGTTCGCAGCTCGCTCTGCTGCCCTCAGCACGGCCTGCTCCGCAGCTGCCTGGCCAGCTGGCCTCCGGGTGGTGGGCGGCGCATCCTGCCCCCGTGGTGGGAGGTCCTCTGGGGCTAGGGCGGGAGCGGGGGCAGGGGCCGCCCCGGTCCTGTTTGGCTGCTGAAGGAAGGAGGTGACGGCGCCGTTGAAGCCGCTGAGCCGGGCGCTGGCAGGCCCTCGGGGCCTTGGAGCTCTGCGGCCAGCCGGAGGTACACCCCTTGGGAGGGCAGGGCCCAGTCCCTCCCCTGGGCCAGCGGGGCGGGACAGGCCTGGAGTGGGCTGGGACTCCTTTTGCCTCTGGCTGCAGGGACCCTTGGGCTGGGCGGACACAACCAGGGGACTCTGGGGGGCGGGGGCCTGGGCACCCTCCCAGCCCGCCTTCTCCTAGCAGAAGCTGGGTCTGGTGCCTCCCTCACCAACCCCTCCCCCTACTGCCTTCAAGGAGGGCGTCCCTGGGGCCCCACCCCCTCTGTCTGACCCCTAGCCCTGGCAGCGATGGCCGGGCTGCTGACTCGGCTGGGACAGAGCTGGAGGAGGCAGGAGAGGGGGTCGATGGTGAAGCGGCTGCCCTGGCCGGAGGGCACCGGGCTGTCCCTGGGGGGGCGGGGGCTGGCCCGCCTGGGTGGGGGAGCGGGGCTGGCTGCAGGCAGGGAAGGGGCACTTGGCAGCTTCACAGGCCAGAAGCCTTGGCAACGGGGCAGCAGGAGGGAGGGAGGAGGCCAGGCCGGGGCCGGGCAGGTGTGTGCTGGGCTGTGCCGTGTGGCCTGGTTGGTGGGGGGGTGGCGGGTGCCCGGCCGGGAGAAGGTGTCCTGGGCAACCACCTGATGCCGAGTCTCCACCAGCAGGAACCACTGCTGGAGGCTCCCGGCACAGTAGGTTCATCCAAAGGCCACAGGGACGTGCAGACACGTGCCTGGGAGCAGGTAGGCGGAGCTGACAGAGGGACTGGGGGGCCCTGCCCTGCCCTCCAGCCGCTCCACACCCCGGAGCCCTGCCATCACCCCTCCCCGCTCCTCCTCCTGCCCCCAGGCCCCAGAAGGGGGGGGAGTCACCGTGGCGGGGGTGAGACAGCCCTGACCGCCTGGGGGCCCCGGCGCCTGTGGGGGTGCGGGGAGGGGTGGGAAAGGAGGCAGCAGTGGGCCCCCCCAGGGCCCCAGAGGTCAGGAGGGGGCAGGACAGCCAGCAGGCGCGGTCACATGGTGGCCCTGTGACCTTGGTCACCTTTGCCAGCTTCCTTGGGCCTCAGTCCCCCCGCCCAACCCAGTGAGACGGGGACAACAGTCGTCTTGACTTTAGAGCAGAGAGAACGCATGTTCCCAGCTCGCCATGTACTGCACGCTTGAAAATGCAAGTGGACTTCGTTAATTGACCGGCTGATTGACGCCATCACGGTTATTAATGCAGGTGCAGGAGCCCCCCCAGGACCGCAGTCTCAGCCACATCCCTCTGACCTCTCCTGCTGACCCACAAGTGGGCCCGGGGCCCCTCAAAGCCGTCCTGCCCTCCCCCCTGGGTCTCTCCCCCAGGGAGACCTCGCCTGCACCTCCTCCCCTTAGAAGGTGGGCCCCCCGTCACTGTCTTCTTATAACTGTGAGGGTCTTCTGGCTGGGGAGGGCTGGGAGGGCTTCCCGAAGGAGGAGGGAGGCAAGAGGAGCCTTGCAGGCTACTGCGAGGCTGCCCACCCTCTGGATTCAAGACGGCCCAAGGGAGCCGGAGGCCGGTCCCCACTGCCTTCCTCACCTTCTGCCTTGAGTCCCGAAGGGCTGTGGGGGCCAACGTGGCAGAAATAACTTCTGTGTGGGGTTGAGACGGGAGTTCCCCCGGAGGGCATGCTGAGCGCAGGCTGGAGGGCTGGGTGTCCCGGCCTTGTGACCCCTGCCGCCCCCGCTGTGGTCCTGGCTCAGCATGAACACTGTCCCCTTCTCCCACACCGTGGTCGCCCCTGGGCCCAGCCGGAGCCTGAAGAGTAGAGACCCTCGTAGACCTGGGCCGNTGTCCCTGAGTCCCGGCAGAGCTGTGGTGGGAAGGAGGGAGTGGATGCTGACTGTGCACCCGGCGGGGAGAGGGCAGAGCTGAGGCCGGAACTGGGGGCCCAGGCAGCTGTCTGCTCAGAGGAGAAGCCCTTTCTCCGGATGGAGCCCCCGGGATGAGGGGCCTCCACGGGGTGCAGAGGACGGACGGGAGAGGGGCCACCAGAGGTGAGGCAGAGAGGCGTCCTCCGCGGGCACCACGATTCCCACATCTGACCGGTGGGCACTACTACCACGTGCATGTCCCCAGGGCAGCCAACCTTCTGCCTTAACCCTGCGTTAAGATGGGCAGCGTCTGGGGCAGTCTCCCCGCTGTAGCCAATACAAGCATGACGGCGCTGACCATGGAGCCGGGGAGAGATTCACACTGCACCCGTCACTGCCCACGCCATCTCATCGTCCCGTCTGGGCCTGCACGGCCTGTCCCCCCATGGTCACTTCTCCCCGGGCCAGCCGCTCCGCAGGCTCCGCTCAGAAGGGGGCCGCTCTGCTGGGGAACTTAGTCGGTCCCGGGACCCCGTTACCACCTGCCCTGAGATCCTGGGCACGGAACCGTTTGGTGCCCCCTTAATTCCACCGTGCAATAGTCCCGCCTGCCTCCTAGGGCAGCAGTCACCCCGTGACCGGCTCCGCCCACCCAGGTGCCCGATAAAGGGGGCCTTCGATGTTGTCCATCTCTGAGCTGCCCGAGAGCCCTGTCCTGGAACTCAGCGTTGCCCCTGTCGTTTCCTGCTCATCAGCCTCTCGGAGCTCTCTCGATGGCCCGCAGGGACACTTCAGGCCCGCAGCCTGATATTTGGGAGCCCCGGCCTGCCGGGGGAAGGGGTGCAGCCCCTCAGTAAGGGGCTGACGGTGCCCCCCGCCCACCCCTGCCCGCCAGGCCTGCTGTGGCAGCTGCGGCCCAGTGACGTGGAGGTGGAGCTCCTGGCGCACACGAGGCGAGTGGTGAGCCGCGACCTGGAGGACGAGACGGGGCTGCACACAGGCTGGATCCAGAACGGGGGCCTGTTCATCGCGTCCAGCCGGCAGCGTCTGGATGAATACAAGAGGCTCATGTCGGTGGGTGCGCCCCCGAGGGCGGGGTGGGCAGCGTAGTGCAAGGGAGGAGCCAGCGGACACAGGTTCGGGCATCGTGCTGCCTCGGCCAGCTGGGCCTCCTGTGACAGGCGGCTTTGCCTCCGAGCCTTGGAATTCTCACCTTTGAAATGGGGTCGAGCCGAGGAGCATGGTTCTGCTGAGCCTCGGAGGCAAAAGAGGCACCGTGCATGGTTCTACTGGGCGTCAGGCTGAAGGATGAAGCCGCACTACCCAGGAGGCAGGGACCACGCTTCCCCCAGCTCTGCCAGAGAGGCTTAGGGAACACAGTTGTTGGGGAGACAGCAGAGAAAGCCTTACGCCGTGGAAGGCCCACTGTTGGGGTGGAGAGTTGGTTCTTCACCCAGAGCAGCCAGGGCTGGCCCCCACTTTCCAGGTCATGGAAGAGAAAGGTTCCTCCAACGATGCATCGGTTATTGGGCACCAACTGAATACTGGCGAGCAGAATTGGCTGCGTGGGTAGCAGGGGCACATTGTCACAGGGATTCCGAGTTCCTCTGAGTGTCCAGGCGGAAGTGGGAGCAGCTGGCTTTGTCACAGGAGGGCGGGGGGGAGGTCTCTGGGGTCAGGAGGTGGTCTTGTTCTGCCTTCTCCCACCACCTCTTCCCCACACTTACTCACTCATCAGCTGGGACGGAGCCCCCAAAGGTGACCCGTCAAAACTTTCAGCTCAAGTTCGGAGTGAAGTCTCTGCCACCTCTCACCCAGGATGCTCCAAGAGGGAATCTGATTGGCTCAGTTCATGTCTAGTTGAGCTGGAGAAGGAAATGGCAACCCACTCCAGTATTCTTGCCTAGGAAATCCCATGGACAAAGTCTGAGCTTGGTGGGCAAGTCCATGGACCCGGACTCTACTTAGCCACGGAGCACATCTCTGGTTGGGCAGAACCTGTCCTGATGGGCGGATAATTGCGGACACTTGATTGGCTGCCCGTCGGCCAATGAAATGCATCAGGGGTGTGGTCTGTCAAGCAGTTGGGTCCAGGGTCAGAGGACCCTCTGGTCTCTGGGGAGCTGGTCTGACCAGCACATCTGGTTCAGACCCCAAATATCAAACCCGTGGGGATTACTTTTATTTTTTTACATAGTAGGTCCTTATGTGCCCGGGCCCAGAGATGGCTTCCAAGCACTGCACGGGCTCCTTACTCTTCCTCGGAGCTGGCCCAGAGGACAGGAGCTTCCCCCGTCACGGCTCAGGGTTCCTGGGGGTGCCAAGGTCAAAACTGGGCCCCTGGAGGCCCAGACGGGGAGGGAGTGGCTGGAAGGATTTGCCCCCCACAACCCCCCCACCCCAGGCTCTCTTTCCTCTGGGTCCCCCAGTTAGGCAAGGTCTATGGCATCGAGTCCCACGTGCTGAGCCCGGGAGAAACCAAGGCTTTGTATCCGCTGATGAACGTGGAGGACCTCTACGGGACCCTGTACGTGCCGCACGACGGTACCATGGACCCCGCCGGCACCTGCACCAGCCTCGCCCGGGCCGCCACCGCCCGGGGAGCGCAGGTACGACCATCTCCCGGCCCTGGATCCCCCGCTCCGAGCCTGCCCCTCCTGCCTGGGAACACGAGTTCCCTCTGCGCTGAGACCATGGGCCAGCCGGGACCCGAGCCCCTGACCCGCTCCTGCCCAGGCCTGCTGGCTGCCTCTGGTCTGTCCATGATGTCTGCTCTCCCCAGAGGCCCCACCCTGCTGGAATATCGAACCTACCCCAAATCTCTCCTTGTTATTTTTTATCTTCATTTGTCTCAAGTCCACACGTAGTTGTAGGAAAAATTAGAAAAGACAAATAAGCAAGGAAGAAGACACGGAAACAGTTGAAGAAAGACGAAAAGAGAATCACCCTGAGGTACCCAGTGTTGACACTCTAGTTTTATTGCAAGTATTTTTCTCTGAAGAAGTGAACGAAGTGGAGCTGAACTGAATTTCATGTGGCTTTTTAACCACAAGCATCTGTCAGTCACTTGAGCTCTCCTTTTTCTCTTTAAAGTCCCTGTTTAGGGGGACAAGTTCTCCAAGTCCAGGAGCCTGGAGTTAGTTCCTGCCCTGTGGTCACCCCCGTGTCCCCGAGGGGGCCACATGAAGCCTGCCTGAGCAGAAGCAGAGGTCCCGGGCCCCGACCGGGCTGGGGGCAGTGAGAGGGTGGGCGGTCAGCCCTCTGAGAGCTGACGTGGCTTGGAAAGCAGCTCCTCTCACTCCCAGGTCATCGAGAACTGCCCGGTGACCGGGATCCGTGTGCGGACAGATGATTTCGGGGTGCGGCGGGTCGCAGCTGTGGAGACAGAGTTCGGCTGCATCCAGACCCCCTGTGTGGTCAATTGTGCAGGTGGGAAGGCATTCCTTCTGCCTCCTGAGGGCCACCCTGACTGTTGCCTAAACCTGGCCTTGCTTGGGGTGGGGGGCAGGTGTGACCCGGAGGCGCCCTGTGCCCACCTGGCTGGCAGCCCCCGCCAGATGCCGACAGGACTGAGCTGTCTGCGCTCTGCTTGCAGGAGTGTGGGCGGGCGCCGTGGGCCGGATGGCCGGCGTCAAGGTCCCGCTGGTGGCCATGCACCACGCCTACGTCGTCACCGAGCGCATCGAGGGCATCCAGGTGAGTAGCTGGCCCCCAGCCCCGCATCAGGCTGCGGCAGCCCCCGGGCCTGGCTCTGGCCCCACACACGCAGGTCGCCACGCTGGGCATCAGTGGCCCATCTGTAAAATGGGTCTCCTCGTGACTGGACGCTCTGGGCGGCATGAGGATGAGAGGAAGTGGCACAGTGTAACCCGAGGCCACCCCCCCACCCCCGCCTTCGTGGCACGGCTCCTCACTGACGCCCAGCCTGTCGGGCTTGGCGTGGCCAGCCTGACGTTCGCCGTGTCCCGCGCCCCAGGCGTTCCCAGGAGCTCTTGAATGTTTGTGGGTCCCCAAATATGCTCTGGGTGCCAGTCTCAGAGGACACTGGGCCACAGCCCTGGGAATCTCCCAGGGAGCCCTGAGACCCTCTGCCGGGGGAGGCGGGTGAGGGGCAGGGAGAGCTGTGGGCCCCCTGCCCGCTCCCGCCTCCCTTTCCATCTCCCCTCTCCCACCCTGGGAGCTGGGAGCTTCCTGTCGCTGACCACACTTCCTTCCCTCCACGCATCTCTCCCGTCTCCTCCCGCCTCCATCTCGTCCCTGCTCTGTCCCCCCGCCCGTCTCTCCCTCCGTCCGCCCGTCATTCCTCCACTCACTTCTTCCTCTCTGTCCATCTTGCCTCCCTGCCTCTGTTCACCCCTCCTTCCATCGCTCCTTCCCTCTAGCCCTTCATCCATCCACCCATCCACCCATCCGCCAATGGACCTGTTCCTGCGTCCATTCGCCTATCCATCCTTTCTCCCCTGTATCCATCTGTCCGCCACTCCCCCTACCCATTCCTCCATCATCCATCCATTTATTAACACGTGTAACCAATCCACCCTCCCCGCCACCCTCTCCGTCAAACATTGGCTGGATAAGCTCTGTGATCCAGGCCCTGTTCTAGAAACTGGGGCTGTAACAGAGATAAGAACCTAGTTCTTGCCCAGGTGAGTTGGCAGCGGGAGGGTATGAACAAGTAAATATACTTAAATATACAAGTAAATATACTTAAATATATTTTAAAACGGGCTGACAAGCACTGGGGCTCCAGGGACCGACAGCCTGTGGACCAGGGCGGTGCCCTGGCAGAGACCACGTCCGAGGGGTCTCCTGAGACGTCTAACGGGGGGCAGAGGAGAGATGGGGGAAGAAGGAAAGGGGCAAGGCAACGCCGCCGAGGAAGAACAAAACGGTGGAAGCCGGCCCGGGCAACCAAGGGGGGGGGAAAAAACGGGCCGAACCTGAATAAGGCCAAGGCCCAGCAGGGAGGGTCCCGGGAGCCTCGCCCCTGCGCTGGACGAGCCTGGCTTCCCTCGGGTCACCGGGCTGGCCGCTGGGTGGGCCCCGTGGTGAAGGGAGCGGGGAGCTGGGGCGGGACTGGAGCCTCTACCCTCTCCCGCCCCCCTCTTCTGACACCAAGTTCCCTTACTCATGGATGGGCTTGATACGATCCAGCACATCCCTCCTGAGGGCTGTGGTGTGCATACACATGTGAGGCTTTGGGGAAAGAGGAGGTGTCGGTGGGACGAGCCCCCGGCCCTGGTTCCGAGGGAAATATCTCCAGTGGCCGCCAGGGGTCACCTTCTGACCGCTGTGGACTGTAAAAGTAACCGCAAAGTGAAAGTTGCTCAGTTGTGACCTGAGGCTTTGCGACCCCATGGACTATACAGTCTATGGAGTTCTCCAGGATACTAGAGTGGGTAGCCTTTCCCTTCTCCAGGGGATCTTCCCCAACCCAGGGATCGAACCCAGGTCTCCCGCATTGCAGGCAGATTCTTTACCAACTGAGCCACAAGGGAAGCTATGGACTGGGGACGGGTCTGGGGCAGAGGAAGGCCGTATCCTGGTGGGGAGGAGGAGGGTCACAGGGCATCCACGGAGCCCGGGACGGGGCCTCAGCCTCTCCGCGCCCCGATGCACGTGATGCCTGGCTTTGAGGCAGCTTCCGGGAGAAGCAGGGCAGTGTGGACCCTCCCTGAAGTTTTAAGATCAGCACCACACTGGGGCTATTCATGTTACTCGCAAACACTACCCTCTCCCAGAGACCTGTGTGCCTCTGGGAACCCCAGGCTCCACCCCAGGGAAGGGCCACCAGACCCAGAAACTCTTAGACTCTTTGTAGGAGCAAAGAGGAGGTTTGGGGCTGGGGGCCAAGTTCCCCATGCTCCCCTCCACGTGGGGAGTCTGGGAGGCCAGCCTCTCCTGAGGTCACACCTGGACAGCCTGAATCTGGGAAAGGAACGGGCCCCTGACCCTGACCTCCCACGCGGTCTGACCCCTTGGTGAGTCAGAGAACAAGCTCGTTTAGGCCGAGGCAGCTCCTGTAATTGGGCTGTGGGGCTCATGCTGGGAGGTCCCTGACACTCGGGCCCATTTGGGGATGGTCAGGAGGCTCCCTGACAGCCGACAGTCTTGCACTATGAGTGGCTGACGGCCCAGGTCTGGGCCTCATGGTGTTGGGGGCCTGGACGCCCCAGGCTGCTGGTGAGGGCTCAGGGATCAGCCCCCTGGACCACATGCCCTTCTTTCTTCTTCCTGGGGGACCAGGGGGCTGTGCTGCCCCAGGGACCTTACTCATGGATGGGCTTGATACGATCCAGCACATCCCTCCTGAGGGCTGTGGTGTGCATACACATGTGAGGCTTTGGGGAAAGAGGAGGTGTCGGTGGGACGAGCCCCCGGCCCTGGTTCCGAGGGAAATATCTCCAGTGGCCGCCAGGGGTCACCTTCTGACCGCTGTGGACTGTAAAAGTAACCGCAAAGTGAAAGTCGCTCAGTTGTGACCTGAGGCTTTGCGACCCCATGGACTATACAGTCTATGGAGTTCTCCAGGATACTAGAGTGGGTAGCCTTTCCCTTCTCCAGGGGATCTTCCCCAACCCAGGGATCGAACCCAGGTCTCCCGCATTGCAGGCAGATTCTTTACCAACTGAGCCACAAGGGAAGCTATGGACTGGGGACGGGTCTGGGGCAGAGGAAGGCCGTATCCTGGTGGGGAGGAGGAGGGTCACAGGGCATCCACGGAGCCCGGGACGGGGCCTCAGCCTCTCCGCGCCCCGATGCACGTGATGCCTGGCTTTGAGGCAGCTTCCGGGAGAAGCAGGGCAGCGTGGACCCTCCCTGAAGTTTTAAGATCAGCACCACACTGGGGCTATTCATGTTACTCGCAAACACTACCCTCTCCCAGAGACCTGTGTGCCTCTGGGAACCCCAGGCTCCACCCCAGGGAAGGGCCACCAGACCCAGAAACTCTTAGACTCTTTGTAGGAGCAAAGAGGAGGTTTGGGGCTGGGGGCCAAGTTCCCCATGCTCCCCTCCACGTGGGGAGTCTGGGAGGCCAGCCTCTCCTGAGGTCACACCTGGACAGCCTGAATCTGGGAAAGGAACGGGCCCCTGACCCTGACCTCCCACGCGGTCTGACCCCTTGGTGAGTCAGAGAACAAGCTCGTTTAGGCCGAGGCAGCTCCTGTAATCGGGCTGTGGGGCTCATGCTGGGAGGTCCCTGACACTCGGGCCCATTTGGGGATGGTCAGGAGGCTCCCTGACAGCCGACAGTCTTGCACTATGAGTGGCTGACGGCCCAGGTCTGGGCCTCATGGTGTTGGGGGCCTGGACGCCCCAGGCTGCTGGTGAGGGCTCAGGGATCAGCCCCCTGGACCACATGCCCTTCTTTCTTCTTCCTGGGGGACCAGGGGGCTGTGCTGCCCCAGGGGCCCCAGTTCTAAGAAGCCGTGCCATCGTGGGTCCTAGCTGAACGCTGTCCTCAGCTCCTCTGTGACTTCATCCAGGGACCTCTCTGGATCTGGTCTCTGCGTCCATCAAACATGGTGGCCTGGACGCTGCATGATGGTCTGGCATCCCCACTGCCTTCCACCTACAGCTCTGTTGCGGCGGAGCCATGGGAAAAGGCCCAAGTTCAGGGTCTGTATTCCGACCCCTCTACTAGCCAGCCAGGCGAGCCGAGGCGCTGCCAGAGCCTCAGTTTCCTCTTCTGCAAAATGGGTTTAAAGCTGCTTAGGGCTGTGCTGAGGGAGAAACCAAGTGGTGGGCTGAAGGGCTGAGCACAGTGCCTGGCACACCGAGGTGAGGACCGCCGTGACCGTGACAAAGGACACGGGACGGTCGTGAGATGGTCCAGCCAGCAGGGGCCTCAGAGAATTGGGAAGCCTGGAGCCACCAGGTGGGCTTCCTGGAGGAAGCAGCTGGCAGGATTTGAATGAGGCGAGGCCAGGAGCAGCGGATGGAAGGGGACGGGCTGGGATAGGAGGCAGTCACACCAGTGGCACTGGGGTCGCACCTGTAGGGTGGGCTTCCAGATGGAGGGGGCAACGAAGGTACCCCGTAGACTCCTTGGGCTGAGCCGAGCCCGTGCTGGGCTCTCTGTGGCCGCCGGGGCCTTGCAAGGCAGGGAAGGGGACGCTGATCCTGCGGGACAAATGCAGGGGCTGCCTGACCACCAGGTGTCCCCACTGTCCTGCTCTGCGGAGCTCCAGCATTTCATGGGTTTTGTCTCTTGGGTAGTAGAGACACGGAGGTAATGGGATCACTGGACCTGAAGCGCTCGGTTACTGAGGACACCCTGTGCGGCTCCTGACCGCGGCTCCTCCCCGCAGACGTCCGTCCTTGCTGCAGTGCTCAGAGGGGCCACGCGGCGCGCAGGCCGAAGTAGGAGGCAGGGCCCCTACCGGGTGGTCCCTTCTGGTCGCTGCGTGTCCTCAAAGATGGGGTGGAGGGGTCGCTTCTGAGGACCCCATCTCCAGGGCCAGGGGCGCTGAGAGCCAGCTCCGTGCCCGGGACCCGCAGGGCACATGAGTCTCTCCAGGGCAGGGGGCGCTGAGAGCCAGCTCCGTGCCCGGGACCCGCAGGGCACGTGAGTCTCTCCTCACTCCTGCTTGCTTTCTGAAACAATTTTACTTTCTGTTCATTCACTTATTGGTTAAATCAGTAGTCAGCATTTGCAATCTGATGGCAATGAAAACACTGTTAACTCGTGAGCAAGCAGTGTCCAACGTTTTGTGTTTCCTGGAGTTACTATTAATTAGTGCATTTTCCCAGCTGTTCAGTTCCCAGCGTAGCTGTCGTTAATTCTTCCCTTCTATGTGGCTCAAGGGTAAAGAATCTGCCTGCAATGCAGGGGATGCAGGTTCAATCCCTGGGTGGGGAAGATCCCCTGGAGCAGGAAATGGCACCCCACTCCAGTATTCTTGCCTGGGAAATCCCAAGGACAGAGAAGCCTGGAGGGCTACAGTCCATGGGGATGCAAAGAGTTAGACATGACTGAGTAACTATGCATGCATCTACCTATCATCTATCTATTATCCATCCATCCATCCATTATTGATCATCTGTCTATTATTATTACAGTCACCTGTACCTACCATGTAGCTGTCATTTATCCATCTGTCCAACGTTATCTCTGTCCCTACAGCCCCATCCTCATTATCAGTCCCCATTTCCCATGCCACCCTCAGCTCAGGTAATCACTAGTCTGATTTCTATCTCTATGGATTTTCGCATTTTGGACTTTGAATGAAATAGAATCACACAATTTGTGGCCTTTATGTCTGGCTTCTTTCACTCTGCATGACGTTGTCAAGGTTCATCCGTTTAGTACATGTATCAGAATTTCGTTTCTTTTTAGGGCTGAATAATACACGCTTGTAAACCACGATTTATTTATCCTTTCATCTGTTGATGAAAGGGTGTGCGTTGTTTTCACTTTTTGGTTACTGTGAATTACGCTGCTGTGAACACTCATGTACAAGATTTGTGTGGACATATGTTTTCCTTTCTCTTGGGTAGATACCTTGAAGTGGAATCGCTGAGTTACAGAAGAACATTGCTAACTCCTTGTTTAGCTTTTTGACTGTCAGAGTGTTTGCCAAAGAAGCTGCACTGTTTTACATTCTCAGCCTCAGTGTGTCAGGGTTCTGACTTCTCCATATTGTCAGCAATATTTGTTACTGTCTAACTTCTTCTTTCTAGCCATCATCATGGGTGTAAAGTGGTATCTTGTAGTTTTGAGTTGCGTTCCTCTAATGACCAATGATGTCAAGCATCTTTTCATGAGCTTATTGGCCTTAGGTATGTCTTTTTTGGGGAAGCTACTATTAAGACATTTTGCTCATTTTTCATTGGATTGTCTTTTTTAAATAAAAAAATTTAAACTTTTTCGGCTGCATGGAATGTGGGCTCAAACCTGTTCCCCCTGCATTGGCGAAGTGGAGACGTAACTACTGGACCACCAGGGAAGTCCCTGGACTGTCTTTTTATTAAATTGTTTTTAATTTTTGCAGTACAAGTTTCACACTTCTTTCTTAAATTCACTGTTTTAAATTAATTTTTTTTGGAGTATCGTTGCTTTGGGCTTCCCTGGCAGCTCAACCAGTCAAGAATCTGTCTGCAATGCAGGAGACCCAGGTTCGATCCCTGAGTCGGGACGATGCCCTGGAGAAGGACATGGCAACGCGCTGCGGTGTTCTCACCTGGCGAGTCCCATGGAGAGAGGAGCCTGGTGGGCTGCAGTCCGGGGGTTGCACGGTCAGCCTTGGCTGAGTGGCTAACACATCGTTGCTTTTCACGTAGTGTTAGTCCCCGCTACACAGCAAAGCGAAGCAGCTATGTTGTTGTTCACTTGCTAAGTTGTATCCGACCCTTTGTGATCCCTTGAACTGATGCACACCAGGCTCCTCTGTCCTTCACTATCTCCCAGAGTTTGCTCAAATTCGTGTTCATTGAGTCAGTGATGCTATCTAACCATCTCATCCTCTGCCGTCCCCTTCTCCTGCCCTCA